ATTAGTATCAGAGGAAGCAACGCATGCATCTGCTGCAGCACGAGCAGCAGCAGAATATGTGTGGTTGATAGACCCCCTCGACGGCACAAAAGAATTTATAAAACGCAACCACCAGTTCTCTGTTAATTTAGGTTTATGCTGCAGGGGGGCCCCCATACTGGGTATCGTGGGGGCCCCCGTCACGGGTACAGTGTATGTTGGGGGGGAGGCCTTGGGGGGGGCCTGGGAGCTGCGAGCAGCAACCAAAGAAACTGCTGCAGCAGCAGCAGCAGCAGCAGCAGAGGGAGAAGAACCACCACCACCAGCAGCAGCAGCAGCAGCAGAGGGAGAAGAACAACCACCACCAGCAGCAGCAGCAGCAGCAGCAGCAGCAGCAGCAGCAGCAGGAGAAGAAGAAGATATTTTGGTGCCTCTGCGATGCAAAAGCTTCAGCTGGGGAGACACCGCGCTGCGGGTCACCGCCTCCTCCTCGCACAGCTCCCCAGCTACCTGCGCCTTTTTATCTAGACTGCAGCAGCCACAAATAGAACAAATAGGGTAATACACTTATTTATTTATTTATTTTGTTTGCTTTGTTTTATTTTTTTTATTTCGTTTTGTTCGTTTTGTTTTGTTGGGTTGAGAGAAAAAGAAAAAAAAAGAAAAAGAATTGAGCGAGAAACGCGGTATTGCGGGGTCTCTGCTGCTGGCGCAGTGCTGCTGCTGCTAAGTCAACGCTTCTGCTGCTGCTGCTGCTGCTGCTGTCAATGATATATATATATATATATATATATATATATATATATATATATATATATATATATATATATATATATATATAATTGCATGCATGCATTTGGGGCTGTTTGTTGCATGCGTTTGGGGTGTATATGCAGGTCATCGTTAAAGTTTCTTCGTTTGGCGTGCGGCGAGGCTCACATATATCCGCGCTTTGCTCCGTGCAGTGAATGGGATACATGTGCAGCGCATGCAATACTGAGAGCAGCAGGGGGAGAGATATATCGATGGGAAGATGCAGCAACAGGGGGGCCCCTGGGGCCCCTACAATACAATAAACCCTCACTCCTTAACCCCTCCTTTGTTGCTCTTGCTAAGCTCAACCCAGGGGAGGACCCAGCCCCACCCCCGAGCCCCCAGACAGATGCAGATGCAGATATACTAAAACACAGCAAATGCAATTAAGGCTGCTGCTGCTGCTGCAGCTGCTGCTGCAACAGCTGCTGCTGCTGCTGCAGCTGCTGCTGCAGCTGCTGCTGATGCTGCGGCTGCTGCAGCAGCTGCTGCTGCTGCAGCTTTATGCTGTTCCCTTTGGGGCCCCACACAGTGTACAGACTACAGGCTACTGCGTGCAGCAGCTCAGACACCGGTGGTGTGTGTTGTGCTGCTTCAGTGCAGTCTTCGCCTCCGTTCCTCGTTGCATGCATGCAGTAATTTATATAGAATGCATGCAGCCAATTTATAAACAAATGCAGAGCAGCGGTGGCCCCGCTTTTTTGTGTTCTGCTTGTACTACTACTCCTTGTACTTGTACTCTCAACTCTACACAGTAAACACACCAGGTGTATGAGCTTCTTTTCTGGTATTTTTGTTGGGGGGAAATAAACCATGAGGGCCAAGACGGCCTGCTCTAGAGGGTTAGAGTTTCGGGGGGTAGGAGGGGTGTTTGGGGTTGCTGTGTGTGGTGGTTTCTGCGCCTATATGAAGGCAACCACAGACAGAGAAAAAATACAGCTTTCTCTCTTTGTTTAAAGTTAAAAAGTGTATTGGGAAGCATTTAGCAAATGTCTTACGTGCAGTTCTTTGTTGTATTCTGTCGATGGTGTTTCAGCTGGTTGTTGTTGCTCGTTGTGTTTGAGCCGCGCAATTAGACAAAA